CGGGGTGCTCGTCCCCTCTGACGTGTCCGCCATCGCCCTGGACTTCAAGGTCCTCCACCCGGTGGTCATAACCCGGCTCGGGGTGTTCCCCAGCGGGACCCGGCCCGAGCTTCAAAGCAACGTGACCGTGAAGCTCCTGCAGCTGGATCAGGAGGTAACGGAGCCTCTGAGTAGAAACGCAGCCCTGGGGGACTCCGAGCTGCAAAGACACCTCAGCTCCTTCTGAACGACTTCACAGCCGAGTCCTTAAAGTGGATCACGCTGCGAAACTCTTCAAAGACTGAAAGACGTGTGTTTCTCCCGTGCTTTGCAGGAGGCTGTGGTTACGGCTCGCTTCAGTTCCATCAGCACCGGGACCATGGCGAACTGGGTGTGGTACAAACCCGTGGAGCAGTTCATCCTGCCTAAGGTCAGGTTCCTCAGACACCCAGCCGAGAAGACCTCAGGGTTCAGGAGTAGAACTTCTGCAGGCGCAAACACGGCTGAAAACATCAGAATTCGTCTTTTATTCCTCTTCAAAAATAAAGTGTTAAAGAAAATCAAATCAAGGAAACATTAGGGAGGCTGTCGCAAAACATGCTGATCGGATGGATCGTTCAGCTTTTTAGATGAAGGTTTGTGGAAAGATTGCGAACAATAAATATCTTACCTGTTGCAGATAGCGCTTTGAGCAGCTTCAGTTTGTAAAAATTAAACAGTTTTGTCCGGATTGATGAGCTTACAGCTAGTCCGAGCAAATTGCTGCTGTTTTCATCCTCGTTCGCTCTAATCTGGACATCCTTCTGTCGAGGAATCTCACGTAAACTACGGTAAAAAAATTACATTTTTAAAACCTCCATTTTAATTTCTTGAACCAACGATTTTGTCTACGTTTTGTCCCGTCTCCTTGAAACTATTTAAACGCGTCCTAAAACATCAACGTAAATTCAACTCCAGTAACTTCTGTTTTTCAGAACCGGGGGCGGCCATGTTGTAGTTTTTAGCCCGAGCCTGCGCTCTATGTGCAGATGAGCCCTCAATACAGAAACCTGCCTACATACAATTTGTTAACAATCTTCAAATAACAAAGTTAAAAACACATTTCTTAAAATGAATATTTGAACACACAGCAGCAAGTTGAATAAGAAAAAACACCTGAAAATATAATTTGAGGTGTTTTTTTTGTTTGTTTTTTTTTAGATTTTAGACGGACAAATGTCTTAGTCTGCCACTAGGGGGCGCACATCCATGGAGGCTTCAGCTTCTCGGTTTGGTCTTGTATCTATTTGTGACATATGTCGATGTGCTGAAATGATGAAAAACTGAGAGGAAACTATTTGATAATGAAATATTCAGCTGACAATATTCTTTCTCTGTATTTTAATGGGTTGCCACCTAGTGCCATTTTCTTTCAGAGTGTGGGAACTGAGGAAAAAAAACCCTGTAAAACATGTTTAAAAAATATTTGTTGTCAAATAAACTGCCTTAAAATAACTTAATTCCTAGAAGTTTCACAGCATTTTATCTGAATGCTGTTTCAGTCACCTTCAACATAAATATTTCAGTAAATGGTTATTCCAGCAGAAATAGTGTGATATTCCTGCACGACACGTTCCAGACTGCAATGGAGGTGCTACAGCTAGCTGCTGCCGCCATTGTTTGCGCTTGTAAAGAACAACTATCTGAATAACTGCTCCAAAACATCTTTTCAAATTGGAATTATTTCATCATTACTTCAGACCGCAGCACATCAAAGAGTTCAAAGCAGAGCGAGCGTCTTAACGAGCGTCTTAACGAGCGTCTTAACGAGTGCTGCAACCGTCCTAAAAACCGTCTAATGAAACCGGCTTCAGGTACAGAGACCTGTGCTAATGCTAATCCCGCTAGCCGAGAATTCTAATATTCATTTTCACCGGCCAAACAACGCTAAGTTGTGGGGTGTTCAAGTATTCTGTCAATAAAGCTGCGCTCATCCGTAACTGTAGTTCCCACTATATAATCTTTTCAAAATAAAACAGGACGGCAGAAATATGCTGTACGTGCGTTAAAACAAAAGCTCTGGAACAACTTGGCGAAGACGCTGACGTTAATTTTTTGAATTCCCTTCGGTTAGCTCTTCGGTCTGCGCGGAGCTAATCTTTTTGTGAAATCTGAGATATGTGCAACAGGTAAGATATTCTTTGCTCACAACCATTCCATTGAACGGCACGTCAAAGATATTAATTCAACATCTGTTCTTTCCAGGGGTTTGAGGGGACGCTGGTTTGGGAGAGTCTGGACTCTGCTCCTCTGACCACGGTGAACTCCTCCGTGGAGCTCGACGATGGAGGAGGCGTCCTCAAGTTCTCCCCTGTACGTGTTTACGATCGTTTCCGCGACAAACTGCAGATGGGAAACAATCCGAAAGCTTTGAACTTCCTGTTCTCCTGAACTTGCAGATCTCAGAGGGAGTGCTGCCTCACAGAAGTGCTCTTGGGTTTCCTGGTTTGGCTGGAGGCTTCACCTTTACCATCTACGGTTGGTCCGGCGTCGTTTAATGAAAACGTTTGGGTCAGAGTCACTCCGTGAGCCAGATGTTCTCAGAGAAACCTCTGTAAAAACAAAAAGACGTTGTTCGTCCTGGCAGGTTATGAGATTAGCTCCTTTTTTACCTCCGGGCTCTTAAACGTCTTCCAAACGGACGGTGGCGTTAGTCCCCCCCCGCCGCCTGCCTCCGTTACATTATTGACCCGTTTGCTGCTGCGTTGCTTTTTTGTGGAGGTTAAAATTAAATCCATGGTTCCAATTCGCTGAAAACAGAACTAGTCACAGGAATGCATATCGCCCGCCGCCCTTCATGCCACAGTTTTAGCTTCATGTCGTCTTATGTTCAGAAACGTAGCCGTTTTGGTCAAATGTTGAGCATTTTGTGTCTTTTCATGCTTTTAGCTTTTAGATAGCTTTTTTTGTAGCCTTTCTAGCTACTTTTAATTATTGTAGCCTTTTTACTGTCTTGATAATTTTACTCAGCATTTTGATCTTTGTAGCTTTTTCCTACCTGTTTGTCATTTTTAAGGCTTTGGTTTTAGCTTTCAGCTAGCCTTTCTAGCAACTTTAAGCTAACATTTTCATACTTTTCGATTTATTAGCGTTTTGTTAATTTTCGCTTAGTTTTTTTTCTTCTTTCCAGTTACTTTAAGCTAGCATTTGGGTACTTTTAGCATTCAACTAGCTTTTTGCTACTTTTAATTTGTGCGTTTAGCTTTCAGCTAGACTTTGGCTTTTCTAGGTACTTCAAGCTAACCTTTTGATACTTAGCTTTTTATAGCGTTTTGCTACTTTTAGCTCTTAGTTTTTAGTCTTTCTAGCTACTGGTCTTTTGCCAAGTTTTGATCATTTTAGATAGACTAACATTTCTAACTAATTTAAGCTAGCCTTTTGATACTTTTAGCTTTTAGATAGCTTTATTATCCTTTCTAGCTACCTTTAGCTAGCCTTTTTACTTTTAGCTTCTAACAATGTTTGGCTACTTTACCCTTTAGTTCCAAAAGAAGGTTATCAAACAAAACAATGACTAAAATTATTTACCAGTATATTAGTCTTTAGCTACTTTTAGCAGTTAGCTAGTATTTAGCTCTTTTTAGCTCTTAGTGTTCCTTTAGCTCCTCCGGTTAAGTTTTATTTTTTTCCTGCAGAATCCGTGAGCATTCGCGCTGCATTTAGTACTTTTTCCTCAAATTTGATTGAAATCCGTCTAGTGGTTTAGGAGATATTTTGCTAACAGATTTGAACCCAAGACCTAATAGCTAAATTTTAAACAAATATCTCGTGTGAGCTGAGAGCTTAGATGACGTGTCGGGGATCACTCTCAGCTACTACCACACTGAACCAGTATCTGTAAAACTGAACAAGTTTTAGCCATTTTTGTGTTTTCCAATAAACTTGGCTGTGGCGGCCATCTTGAATTGAACGGGCTCCAGATGTTCATCAGTTGTAGAGACACAGCTAATAACTATTTCCTGAAAGTTCAAATCAGTTCATGAGATATTTTGCTAACAGACACACAGACATAAGTAAAACCAGAACTCATTGATTTATCGTTTTTATTTTTCCTTGCTCCGTAATGCTCCTCTTTTTGTCCCCTCCCATTGTCTCCTCTTGTTGTCGCCTTTTGTCCCCTCCCATTCTCCTCCCATTGTCTCCTCTTGTTATCCACTCCCGTTGTCTCTTGTCATCTCGTGTCATTGTCTCCCTCCCGTTGTCCACTCCGTTTGTTCCCTCCTGTTGTCTCCTCCCGTTGTCCACTCCGTTTGTCCCCTCCCGTTGTCTCCTCCCTTTATCTCCTTCGTTTGTCCCCTCTTGTTGTCTCCTTCTTTTGTCTCATCCTGTTGTCTCCTCCGTTTGTCCCCTCTTGTTGTCTCCTCCTTTTGTCTCCTCCTGTTGTCTCCTC